CAAGCAATCCTAAGCTTCCTAAAACTCCTAGAAAAGCTCCCTTGATCCCTCCAGAACTGTCCCCTCTCCTAGGGAGGTTCTAGAATCAGTCAATGTTTAACTTATGGACATTGACACTTTCAGTCCTTTTACTTTTAATTAATCCAATTAATATCAAAATTAATTCCTATTAATTTTTTATTAATTCTTAATTAAATAATATAATTTCGAATTAATATATTTTTCTTGAAACATATTAATAAATTATTTATTTTGATTTCTAATTAATTTATTAATCATATAATAAAATTAACAAATCATCATTTCTTTCCTAAAAGCATTTCATTCAATTACTAGGTTTAAGGGCAACCCAAAACGACTTTGCTAATAATTTAAGTTTATAATAATTTAGTTAATGGCTTAGACACCTAATCCAACAGTTATTGACCAATCTAAACATACCGAGTTAAAGTAAAATTATGTTAGGAGGATAATAAACTTATAGAGAAGTTACAACTGACACCGGATGAAAGTTGATGCGTGGTGCTCTTATAGCTTCGTCTGGATTAAACGTGAATATTTTCCTAATGCACATGATCCTAGGGCATCGTATCTCACACCATCACTTGGTAGGTCACCTAATTATGAGCCCCCACAAAAGCAGACACAGTGATATGCTGAAAAAGGTTCATATCCAATTATCCTTTTGACCCACCACCACCAAAGATACTGGACCAATGATATATATAAAGACAAAATCATAATAGATTTGAAAAAGCAACTTCAATAATGTTAAAGGCAGTTGTGGGCACATGATATGTGTATGTATCATGCCAAGGTTGCATTAGGGGTTCATGTAGATCATATTATAGAAGAGCATGATATACCCAATAATTAAATTCGGTACCAGACAAGATGACGCAAGATGACGGTGCCTCATTGGGGTTGGAGGTACATTGTTATTTAACACCCCCCCCCCCTCATAGATTGTTGTTTAACATTATGGTACATATGTTATTGAATTGTTAATTATTTAATAGTATGGAACTGTTGCATAATTATAGGGTGATAGGGTTACCCCGTAGACCCATTTATCATAAAGGATCGTGATACGTCACATAATGAAATTTAGACACATGGGTTTGAGGTACATAAGTAATTACATATTTCTATTACCCGTTTTTGTATTGTTGAATACTTAATTATATTTAATCTTATCTTTTTATAGGGTGTCACTATTGATCATGTAATGCAGCTGAAAGATCTTTATAAGAAACCAATAATCACGTTCACTGTAAACAATCATTTAAAATCATCTTGAGTTACATACTTGCAGGGGCGAGGCTAAGTTTAACAAAGGTGGGTCACTTGACCCACCTATTTCTTTTAATATTATTTCAAGTTTTATAGGAAATAAAAATTATGAACAATATTAAATATTTTAAGTGAGCTATCTTAATGTTATTGGAGAAAAACGTATAAATGAAGATTTTCAAAGTCCATATTTTATTTTTTAACAGTCGAAATAACTAATTTATTAAAGGTATAATCTAATAAGAAATCACTATATTTTAAATAAAAAAATCGTTTGACAATTAGCAAACATTGTTTCCTTCTCCAAAAGGCTTTGATTATTGTTTCACGCCTTCACAAATCGCTGATCATCAGCATATGTTGCCACCGACAGCCTCTCCTCCGTCACAACCGATAGCGGCTCCGGCCTCCGACAATCTTCCCTTATCAGCGCCAATTTTTGTTCACCCTATAATTTAATGATTAGAGATAAAACATTCACCGCATCACTTGTGTAGCTTTTTTCTTACTGTTCTTTTATTCTTATTGTAATTTCGTATGACGGTATATCGTATGAGAGCTTCATAGGTTAGTAAAATGTAATATTGCCAACTTGATTTCTTTGTTGTGTTTTATCAATAGGCATTAGCATATGAACAATTCTTTTTCTAAAAAATACATCAAGATATGAGACTTCATCGAATACAATTGTAAGAACTTTAAATCTTTTTTTTCTTATACGACCCAACCCGGATCCGGACCCGCAACTAGTATTTTTTATTTTTGATGTTTGATTTTATTTTCTATTAATTTCATTTAAATAGTAAATCATATGGTTTTACTTTCTAAACTGGTCACTACTATCATTGCCCTAAAAGATCATTTTCAGATTATATTTTGCTAAATCTGGTCACTACTATCATTGCCCTAAAAGATCATTTTCAGATTATATTTTGCTAAATCCTCCCTTAAAACTTGTGCCATTACTATACATGCACATATCTTCAAAACATGATTCGATTCGGTCAATTCTTTTTGCTTTCCATTTCTTGCCATTTAGTTCTCTTCTTTGGCATAACCTTTTACTTTCTGTTTCTTATTTTCTCTATCCAATATCAAACTTTTTCTCTTTCTTCTCGTATTTCTGTTTATGGGCAACTCGTCATTAGGGAACTAGGTATGCACTAAGGCCGTCCGGTATGGTTGCAACGGACGGGTTTGTGGTCTAGCTGGCCACGAACCACGACCGTGCACACCATCCCGGTGGCTCGTGGTGGTCCGTGGTCGTGGGAAATCGTGGTTGGGACAACAAATGCAAACGGACGATGTAATTGGTTGTTGAGTAACGGCATTTAGGGTTTAAAATCTTTTTTTTTTAATTTTACTTTTCAAACAACATTAAACCTCTTTTATAAATACCATACCTATTCATTCATTTTACTCACACAATTCTTTTCTCTTCTTCTCACAATAACACACTTCTTTTGCTTCATAAATTCAAAGCCAATGGCTCCTAAAAGGATGAATTGGTCAGAAAATGAAGAGACCTTAGCATTAGCATGGATAGCTGTTTCAGAAGACCCAGAAATACCTCCTAAATTTTAGGTAAAAGTTGGAAACGTTTTCCATGATTTAATGGGTTGCCAAAGTCGTAATCTTGATGAAATATGTTCGAAGTTTCACGACATGAGGGTTAAATGCATTGAATTCAATGGGATTTATAACTTTGTTATAAACAACGTAGACGAAGGCGGCCCGTTTGCTGTGGCCATGCACCAATATGAAGACACGAAACACACGCCGTTTAAACACGTGAAAGCTTGGTGAAAATTGAGAGTCTCCAAAATTTAGTCATTAAAAATAAGAGTCTAGTTTAAGTTGTTTGTGGTTGTATTTTTATGTTTTTTTTATTATTATCTTTTTTATTTTATGTTGTGTGTTTTAAATTAATGTAAATTGAATAAACAACTAATTTTTAAAAAAAAATATGTTTTATTGTGTTTGTGAATTAAATTCAAATAAAAAAATATGTTTTATTGTGTTTTAATGTATTTTTGAATTAAATTTAAATAAAAAAATGAGATGGAGTAGTATATTTAGTGGTTGGTATCCCATGGTTAGTGATAGAGAGTATGGTAATGATATGACACTCACCACTATAGTCTATAGTAGTTAGTGGTGGGTATAACGGATGGTCTAATAGTATAATTTTGCTAAAATAGTAAAATAATATATTTTAGATGAAAATATGAGTTAATAGAGTGAACTTTAAGATACAATAATGGAATCTTATGCTTTAGTGATAACAAGAAAAATTCATCAATTTCCCTTTCTAAATTTAGAAATTCCGGTTGGGTTTGAATCTTGAAAGTCCAACCTTGACACCCAATGTCTTGACGTCTTGTTGTACTTGGGCCCTAAACTCCGAATAGGTAAACGGTTTGTAACTGGAGCTCCGAATCATACAATCATGCTCCGGAAACACAAAGTAACCAACTGAAATCCGTTCCATTTCTCTATGCAACTTCACCCTATGCTTCACACTCTTGTACTTATCATCACTTATCGCCTAAATACAAACACAATCAAATTCCAAATATACAAAAACTACGCTAAATCGAGGGTAGAAAATGTAAATCAAGCTAAAAATGAGGACAAAAGGTGTAAATTGTAATATTTACATACCTGCATCATATCACCAAGATGAAGGAGAAGAGTGTTGGGAAGAGGTTTAACATCAATCCAAGCGTTATCTTTCTCAGAATGAATTTGAAGCCCTCCTACTTCATATTGATTCAAAATTGTTACCACAGAACTATCAGTGTGCACTTCCATCCCCCATACTTTTGATGGGTTGTCATAAAAGCACTTTGGATAACGGTATACCCTCAATTGCCCTGTTGAAGGCGACAAGTAACATTCATTTTCTTCACGGAGCTTCAAATTTTGTGTTATTGCACCAAATATGGCCTTTGCTACCCTTGCTTGGTGGACCCCATACTCTCCCAATAATATTCTATGAAAGTACAATCCAAAATATTTTACGGATTGTAAATGTAGATTTTATAGGAAAAAATAACATAACTAACATCTTTTTTCTACACATTAGCAAAAAAAATAAAGATTTTTTCACAACTAATCATGCATTTGGGATGGATGTACACTAAAAAAAAAACATCATCGTTTTTTGTATTTGGCAATGCCTGCAAACTGAAAAATCTTGATTTGCTAATTTTTAGAAAATTGTTATTTTTGTCATTTTCTGTTATGATATTTCAAAAGTAATTTTATCGTTAATCATAAAAATTATATGAAATTTTTATTGCTAATCTAACAAATCCATTATTTAATTAATTTATAACCCGTATAAACCATGGTTACAAAATTTATAAAACTTCCATAGTAAAAAAAATTCATAATTATTAATCAATTATTTTAAATAAATTATTAATTAAAAAATTTACCAAAATTTTAAAGTTATTATAACTTCAAATTTAACATATAATTACAAAAAATAAATATTTCTATAAAAAAATTTAAAATATATTATTTAAAACCTTAAAGTCATTAATTATAATAGTGATTTTTGTCTGATAGGTGACATACATAATATTAATGAAAAGTCGTATTAAAATGACACATGACAAAATAAAATTAAAGTTATTCTTTTATTATTATAGGGATACAATGTGATAATTTCCTTATACTAAATTCTAAAATTCATATAGTGTGAACATAACTTTTAATTAGGTAAATTCAAGTCACTTGTTTTTCTAGTTAAGTTATTGAATTTTCTAGTTACTGAATTTAATTAAAGAAAAGATCTATGCCAACCAAAATGTACTCATTTTCAGGTTAAAATTGCCCTTTAATCTGTCATCTTATTTGAATGTAATGAAAATGAAAATGAAAAGCTAACCTTAAATCACGAAGCAATGGGTGTTGATCGAGTTGGAGGTGAGTGGGTTGACTCAGTGGAACATTCAATCCTTCAACCCAGTTATAGTTCACTATCCCCCGATCCTTCTGATCATTACTATCCTTATATAGGGCAACCCCAGCAGGCGTAAGTGCAGGGGTACCCCAGAAATACGATAAGGCGGATGTAGGAATTGATCCAAATAATGTCTGTTTGGATTCAAACCCCATTTCAAAAACCCTAACAGCATGTTCATGGAGTTTCGACAGCAACGCTAATGGGATCCCATGGTTGATCAGCCGGAATATTCCCCACTCTGTACAGGCATCCTCGAGCTTCTCAAGGTCAATACGCCGGAGATCTATCACCGGAATTCGATCTTCTTCATTTTCCTGATCATCAAGTTTATCGACATCTTGTTCGGAGGATTGCTGTGTGTTTGGACGGAAGCATGGAGGGTATGATTCTGGAATTGCTTGAGGGTTCAATGATGACTTTCGCATTGAATTTGGGGTTGGATGCAAATTGATTGGCAATTGATATCTATTTTCGGACTCGGATCACCCACTTTTTATTGATTTTAGCGTAAAATACAGTTTTGATCCCTGTGGTTTACAAAAATCATCATTCTTGGACCTAATATTGGAATTTAATAATGTCAAACCTGTAAACAGATCTGTTTCAATCAGATAAAACCATCTCTAGAGTTTATAACACCAACTGCTTTCAAAATCATCAGCTTCATCGATTCCAAAATGTGCTTCATAGATATCATTGAAAAAAATCATCAGCTTATACCTAACCAGAAAAAAAGAAAATGGGTTTAACACCAAACCAGAAATTAGGAACCAAATACCAGAAATCAGAAAAGAATTGAGCTCTAGATTCAAAACAGAAGAAGAAAACCATGTGATTGACCGATTCCAGAAATCAAACATTCATGTATCGATCCAGGACGTGTAACCCGATAAAGAAAGTGGGACTTACCAAATCGGAGAAGGAGCAGTAGCCGGCGCCGGCGATCGGATGTCTGGAGCGGAGATCGGAGAAAGGTTGCAGCTGATAAAGGAGTGTGAAGTGAACGACGTCTGGGGGATGAGGCTCTACGGCGTGAACAAGCGAGTATTGGGGGAGGACAGGGGTATATAGGTAATTTTATTTTAAATTTTTTTTTACCTGAGTTCTGATTTCATGTTTTAATTGCATATTAGCGGTGATGATTTCGTGTCATATAGTTGGTTTTGATTCTTTGTAATTTTTTTTTTTTCCATGCAGGTTTAGAGTGATGCATCATGTAATCTTTTCTTTTTTCTAACAATGTCGTAAGGATGTTTTGGATCGTACAGATTGTATTGTGGTGTTGTATCATTTGGTTGTATTAATCTTGTTTAGGCCTATTGGCATTGCAATTTGTACATGTACTTAAAAAAAACTATTCATTAATGCAATTTTTAGTTAATTGGAGATCTTAGCAAAATTGTCCTTGTAGTTCATTTTTTTTATGTGGTATATGAGGGCAAAGTTGTCTTTTTTTTTTTTTTTTTTTATTTATTTAAAAAATTCTAACAACCTTCTTGTTAATGTGGTTAAGTAATGAGAGATCTTAGGAACTTATCCTTGTAGTTCAATTTTTGTTTATGTGGTATGAGGGCAAAGTTGTCTTTTTTAAAATTCTAGCAGCCTTCTTGTGAAGATGGTTAAGTGTAGTGACTAATGGTGATGTCAAGTGGTGAAATATGGACCATCCATAATCAAATCACAATATTAGGACCAAAAATGATGATTATGCCAACAATAGGGAACAAAACTATACTTTACTCTTGATTCTCTTATAATTGTGGTTATCTACTTGTAAATATTTGGGGTTGCTTAGAAATGATTAAAACAGTGTAATTAGTTTTGAAATTAGATGATAAAAATAAATGTATGAAAATATAATTCACAATAAAATTTGTAAAAATAAAAATAAAAATCTCTAAAAAACAAAGATATACAAACGGAAAATATTTAAAATATATGAATAAAAACAAAATATTAGTTATATTAAATCTGTACAAAAACATGTTAGAAAATATTAAACTTTAAAAAAACATAAAAAAACGAAGACATAAGAAAAGTTGGAAAATGTTGTAAAAATGTTTGGACAAATTCATAAAAAAAAATTGTGAAAAAATCGTACAAAAAAAGTTTTTTTTAAGAAAAGATTAAGTATAATAAAAGGGTTGTAAAACCAAGTGTTTGTAATTTTAATAAGAAGTCAAATGGGTGTTTTAACTAGAACTCTTTTGTTCTTTTTTTCAAAAAAAAAAATATAATAAAAATAAAAATAAAAATAAAAAAAATAACAATTACATCAAGTTTCTACATACCTTATGATGTATAACATGTTTTACCACATGACATATTGGGTTCATGTTGTGTCTTGATCGAATCTAAAAATTCATACCTCTATTCGGTGTTGTTTATTTGTTATCTGCAAATCTTCTTCACTTTTTCTGTCTGCATCACGCAGAACATGAGTAGACATTAGCTTCACAAACTGTTTGTTTTTTTATAAGACTGTAGACCTAAAAAAGTTTGTACATCCTTTTCTTGGTGCAGATTATAGCCTAAAAATATATATCTTTGTTTTTTTTTAAACATTAAAACTTTGATTTATTCTGTAACCTCCAAAATGTCAACCCAAAATTTTCATTTAAAACAAAAAACATTTATTACGATTACAACTTCCAATATCCAAATGTAACCCATTGGTTTAAAACATTTATCAGAATATAGACATAAAAATTATTAAGTGCATAAATCTCCAATGGATGCGATGATGAATTTTTGGGGTTACAAGTTCAATGCCATAAGCGTAAAATAATAAAAACACGATTTCAATTAATTAGGTCAAATGCAACCTAATATGATCTATGTTTTTTATGTAAAGGCAAACATACTTTGAATGTTATCCTATAAAACTTTCCTATGAACTAATTAAGTCGTAAGAACAAGAAAAACTAACATTTAAGATTGTTGTGGTAAACAATCTTGAATCATTGCTTGAAAACATTTGGTAGCAAGCGCCACAAGTGTCGCGTCTCTAATGGTTCACACTCAAACCCTAGCAACCAAGAATTATGGAGAGATGAGAAGAGAATTTCAGCCACAAGTCTTCACAAGAAGTAGGTCACGAAATTGTGGGGGTTTAAGACCCTTTCTATAGGTGAGGTAGTTTAGGACCAAAGCTAGGGTTTAAGGATGGAAACACTAATCCCTTTGCTTGGTGACCAAGCAACTCATGAGCCTCCCATTTAGGATGCCTGGGACGAAAATTCTAGGCCCTTCCTAGAAATTTTCGTCCAAACCCTACAAGGAGGTTCTAGAGCCTCTTTCCTCAACTATCAATAAATAGCCAAACAACTCCTACACTTTTAATTAATTCAGTTAGTCCCAAAATTCATTCTAATTAATTTCTGACTAACTATTAATTAAATATTATAACTTCTAATTAATAAATTATTCTCATAATAGATTAACAAATCATATTTTCTAATTTATTAATCCAATAATAAATTATCTCTCTCCAATATAATCTTATCCAATAGTCAGCGTTGAGGGAAACCCAAAAGGACAGTGCTACTATCAATTCAAGTTTATACCATTTATAGTTATGGGCGTAGACATTTAATCCAACAGTCTCCCACTTAGATAAGTCTTATAACTATAACTGCCAGTATAACTACCAAATTGATCAGCAAATTGTAGCTACCAAAAGTCGTTGTTGAACTCTGACCCAGTCAGATACGTGTCATAAGATAAGTGATCAAATATTCCTCCATTCTACAATATATCTGTTTAGATTGCATCTATTTAGATTATCTGTTTATTTTGCAATCGTTTGTTGTAATTGTGTTTGCATCTGTTTTCTCATTTTTTTTAGCAATTAGCTTGCAACTTAAATATGTGAATATCAATAACTTTCAACTTTGATATTGATTTGTTTTTTTGAAATTTCAGGTTCAGTTATGGAAAATAGTCCAATTGATATAGACATGGATGGTGAAAGTGAGGCTGTTGAGCAAAATAAAATGCCGGTAGTTGGGGACAAAAGGACATCAAATGCTTGGCGCAACTACACGGATGTTAGAGATCCAAAGACGGGCAATGTTGTAAAGGCGCAATGCAAACATTGTTCCAAACTCTTGACAGTTACTACAAAGAATGGTACATCATCTTTGATTAAACATAATTATATATGTTTACAAAATCCTCAGAATATTGATTTAAAACAAAAGAAAATTAGCACTTTTAGAATAAGTCAAAGTGATGCCACCACCATTTCTAACTGGGAATTTAACCAAAATACAATCAGACTTGCTTTAGCAAAAATGATTGTCTTTGATGAGCAACCATTTTCATACGTTGAATGTGACGGGTTCAAATACTTTTGTAGTGTTGTTGTGCCACAATTTTGTATCCCGTCACGTTTCACGGTTGCTAGAGATGTTATTAAAAATTTTCTTAGTGAGACAGAGCTATTGAGAAATACCTTGAAATGTTTGAATTCTAGGATTACTCTTACTACCGATTGTTGGACTTATGTGCAAATTATAAGCTATATGTGTTTAACTGCTGATTTTATTGATGATAATTGGAAATTGCATAAAAGAATTTTGAATTTTCGGAATATTGATAGTCATAAAGGAAAGGAAATCGGAAAAGAAATAGAATCTTGTATTCTTTATTGGGCTATTGAAGAGAAGTTATATTGCATCACTGTAGATAACGCAAGTGATAATGATGTAGTTGTCGCTCATATAAAAGATAATCCAACAGATAAACTTGTCCTAGGAGGTGACTTTTTCCATATGAGATGTGTCGCTCATATCTTAAACTTGATTGTTAAAGATGTAACAACGTAAATTCCAAAACAATTTTTCACTTTTAAAAATATAGTTTCATTCACAAACATTCTCAATCTCAATGTAT